GGTAATAAATAGAAAAGGTTCACAGGGAAATGGGCCAGGAGCAGGCAGGTGGGACTAGTTTAGTTTGGGGTTATGGTCGGCACAGACTGGTTGGACCGAAGGGTCTGTTTTTGTGCTGTTTGACATCATAAAGAGTGAGCAACCGTGTGAGATTGAACAAGGCCTAGGCAGGCTTCAAGAACATAACAAAGTCAAAAAGCACAAGCCTCACTTCATGTGGTAAAGTGCAACACACCTGAGCCACAACTAGATGTTGAGGACATCAATCCCATGCAGAAGATCAAGGGGATTGTGAAAGCTACAAGAGACCAGAGAAGGAAAAAAATGGGACATTCAAAAGGGATTCATTGTGAGTCATTTTAAGTTATAGCTGACTTAACTAATATAGCCTCACCACTGTATAAACTGCTATAAGATTAAACAGATTGGGAGTGATCTGGTGAGTGTCAGTAAGCAATGGAGAAAGCACTGATTGATAATGCTGCTTTGACCCATGCTGTGAAACAATTAGCTTTAGTGGCCAATGTCTCACCACAGGAATTTAGTGTGGTGTTGTCTCATATAATGGAAGATGGAGTGGAGTAGGCTTCAGAGCAAAATTACTCCAGTTGAGAAACAACCATCATTTCTGGTGTTAGAAAGCTCCACAGATACTTGTATAGAAGGAAATTGACATGGTTAACTGATTATCAAGACCTCACAACCATATTAGATTCAAAGATGGGAGTGTTATCCCTATCAACAACATGGTTTCAGAAATGGGCACTGGTTTTGATGGCCCATCATTACACACAAGTACCACAAATCAACAGCATCATGCTAATGTGGATGTCCTTTCAAGATTTCCCATGAAGACTGATTCATGTCCCCATAAGTTACTTCATATAACCAAATGACATGCCTGTTTCTTCAAAAAAAAACAATAATTGAACTCACAAGGATGTACTGCTTGGTAAAGTGCTCAATCATGTCATTTAACAGCTGGTCTAAAAAGAGTGAGGATGAGAAATTACTGGTTTATTTCACACAGAGAAATGAACTGAAGATTCTCTCCTGTAGAGTTTGAGTTATTCAGGTATTAGAGAGAAATTGTTTGAGAAACTCAATTAACAGCACACAGCAATAGTCTGTACAAAAGCAGCAGCAAGAGGCTATTCTTGGTATCCTTAGGCAGAGATATTTATAAGTTAGCAACAGGTTGTGAAAGTTCCTCCTGATCCACGGTCAAACCCAAGGAAACTCGGGGAAATGAGCACCTGACCATTCCTGTTGGGTGGAAGGGGGGGAAAAACAGAGAGTCCTTAAGGGTCAAAACTTTCAGTAAGTGGATTAACATTGACTCTGCCCTATACAACACATGCTAAAGTTATTGAGTCTTTGAGATTGTTTTGCAATTTATGGGCTGCCAGAGATTTTGGTGCCCAATAATGATCAACAGTTTGTCTCTGGAGAGTCTGAAATATTTCTGTTTAATTCCTGTCAGTCATCACTCATTGTCTAATTCCACCACATCACTCAGTATTGAACAGTGCTGCAGAAAGAACTGTACATGTTTTGGGGTGTCTTTGCAGAAATACATGCTCAGAAACAAGCTGGGCTGTTATTTCCATATTTTCTGTCTAACACAAGTTAGACAATTTTGAAACATGTTACATGTGAGTATTTGAATGCACTCTGGAGGGCAAGATTTAAACCTGATGGCAACATTTTTTAAAAAAGGCACAAGTAAATTGATTCTCAATAATCAGGGGGAGGGGGGCTGGCAGGGGTGAAATGTTATAGCGAATAGTTAAAAACCAGATCAGCCATGGCCTAATTGAATAGTTGGGCAGGTTCAAGGGACTGTGTGGCCTGCTCTGGCTTTTAATTTGTACAATTTGTAACATAGCAAAGTAACAGTAAGCAAGACAAGTAAAGATGGGTCATGATTCTTGAGACAAGAAACTTGGAGAGAGTTCAGTGGTCAGAAGGTCATGGTGAAAAACCAGAGGTGATAAGGAATAGTACGTGTTTTGTGAAGACTGGAGACAGTCTCCATCAGTGTCATGTGGGTCACTTGCTTGAAAAGAGGAAACCATTTCAAAGGGACAGCACAAGAATTCTTCTATAATCCAAATTTCTCTTACAGTTCCAGGTGTAAGTCAGAAGAAACCCAGTGTTTACTGGTATCACAGAATGCACCATCAAAGCAAATCCAGCCAGACTCTTTGATGAAGACACACCAACCCACGCCAGTCCAAATATTAAGTGAAGTTCATCGACAGGGCCAATGCAGCTCAGAGATGACACAGTCAAGAGATGGTGAGAGAGCGGGTTAAAGTTAATGGAAATGGCATTTGATGCCCAGGTAGGAAGAGAAAGGAATCTGAAAGTAACTGAGCATGTAGAAAGGAAGAAAGAAAGCTGTTCAACATGACCTGTCAAATAACAATATTTTGTAAAGTACATACTGGTACAATTCACTCTGGTATATCCGTTATCTCTGTTTTGGTTGGGATTTCAGTTACAACACATCAACTGAATCTGCTAAGGTTCAGTGATTTTCAATATTGGTTTAGTTATATTGTATTCTGGAAAATTACATACAAGCACCATTCCACATTTTAATGTGCATGTTTTTAAGTAGGAAGGGAGTGCAGTACAATGTAAAAAGATGTTGGGAAGGTGTGGATCAAGTTGTTCAATAATGACAGTCTCCACTTGACATATGTTTGTTTGTCTTATTCAATGCCATCCACAAAACTGAAGAAATTAACACATTGACTTGCTTCATTAGCCTAGTGCCAACGGTTTATAAGATACATCCGTTAAATAAAGCACACAAAGAAATTGAAACACCAAAGGGAATTGCCAGACAGTAATACAATGGCAGTGAACACAAAACTTTTACTTAGTACTGATGACCTAATCCATACATGATCCCTAACCGTGACATTACAAATGCGACTGCAAACATGGTACAGAACAGGTAAAAAAAAGTCTATATTTTACAAGTAAAAAATAAGTTCTGAAAAATACAAATAGATTAAAGCTGTTTTTAATCACACACACGGTCCAAAAAGTGACTTGTGTTGTATGTTTCCTTTTGATCACCCTCTATGCTCATAGCACCAGTACAAGATTACTTTAAAGTAACATTTATTTACATTCAAAATGGTTACTTGTTGATCATAACACAGTTTATACATTAAAAGGAAAAAGAATTGAATGGGTTAGGTCTCAGTATGAATGCAGCTTCCAAAGAATTCTCCTAGAATAATTTGCCACTCCACAGAGCACACACCGAGGATCCATGCTTTCGCTGCTCTTATCATTATACAGAAATCTTAAATAATCTGTTTGATAACAGTTTCGCTCCTTCTATGAAAATATGATCTTCCACAAAGTACATAGTTGGGCAGGGTGAGGTAAAGATCACAACCCGAGGACATTGCAATAATGCTGGGGTCATGCAAGTCCGTACCTGATGAATACTGAAATGATTAAGGCTGGATCTGTGGTTCTGAAGCACACTGACACGAAAATATTTGGGAATAATTGTGGGACCCAACAAGTCTGACGCCTTCCTGTACAGAAACACCATCTAGCCTCCTTCAATCTATTTTGCCTTCAGAAGAACGTCCTGTTGTCTCTTGATTTCCATTTATACACATCCAACATTCCCTTTACCTCATTACTAACTATCTATCTTTTTTAATGGCCTTCCCCAGTGTTTACTCCAGATCGAGACATAAACAGTGGTTGTTATTGTACATTTAAAAAAAAACAGGAGTGGTCTGTTTCTCTCATATATTTATGCTCAGCTCATTATTGACCAGAATCATTTTAGGAGAATGGCTTAAACTGCATGTGTACTGCCACTGGCAGATTCAGATGTTTAGGTGGCTTATAAACAGATAATTGCTTAATCACACAAACCGTCCTTCCTGCTTCCTTAAGCTCTGGGCTCTGCAGTCAAAAGCACAAACAGCCTTAAGATCATGTGGCCTGAACTCACAAAATCACACAACCTGCACTCAAATTGCTAGTAGAAAATCTGACCATAAACTTCCTGAAATGCAGCTAAAGACTTGGGCTGTGTTTCACAGGCGACGCAGGGGCAAGCACTTTTAACAAGGGGTGTTGACACAAGTTTGCAGCACAACTCACAGACTGGCAGCGATCTAGTGGAATAACTGTTGAGCTGCTCATTTCATATCACAGAAGTAAGTTCAGTGCAATGGCCCGTTCTGAGGAAGGGTCACCGGACCCGAAACGTTAACTCTGATCTTTCTTCTTCACAGATGCTGCCAGACCTGCTGAGCTCACTCCAAGGTAAGTTGCGCACAGCATATCTTATCAAGGGTCACTAACATGTTTGGAACCCATGGGGGCAACTAAAGTAAAGGCTTTCCTGTCACTTTTGCTTCAGATTCTCCAAAGGTTGCAAAAAAGTGAGTAAACAACAAGAAAAGGAAGCAGCAGCAAGCCGCAGGATTTAGATATGTTTCACAGGCACCTCAACAATGGCCTGACAGCTCCAAAATCAGGAACGAGGCGTATCTGAGCTTGGAGGACACAAGGCCACACTGCATATGGGGCACTCCCCCATTCCCTGCCAATATTCCCAGATGTCTGCGTCTCTGGCAGATGCTCGCTGAGGTGGGAAACTCGGTGAACAGCAGCAATCAGGGATGTGGGGGGCTGCTGCTGGCAAAAGTGCTGTGAACTTTACACTCTCACAGAAGTGGCCATTTTGTAGGCCTCATCTGTGCCTGGGAATCCTGAGGCCAGCGGGCCTGTGGTGCTGACTGGCACACACAGAGCAGCCCGGTTTCTCAGACAACTTCCGAGAACCGGCCTTGGGCCTTTCGCTGACAGTTGTTAAGGGGGCTGGAAACCTACCGGTTATCTCCCCGGTGACAGCAAAAAGAAGGCTTTTGCAGGCACTCAGTGAGTACTGCAAAACTGGTCAACTCCCCGTTCTTCCCCGCCACCTCCACCACACCCCCGGCCCACCCTCCCCATGTTAGGGTCCACAGAAGAGGCATAACAATGGCCAAATATTCCGTTGCTGTCGTTATTTCTAAGGAATGCAAAGGCTATTGAGAGGAACATGTGAATGAACCCAAATGGACTCACCTAAACCTCGGGCTGGAGTGCCTTTTTTGCTGGCCGCAGTAATGGAGCAGCAGTGAGGAGGCAATGTTGGCAAACCACTGCTGCACCCCCCAGCCCCCACCTGAATCAGAAGGGAACAGCCCAAGAGGGATACACATGGAGGATGGGCAGGGGGGAATCAAACAGTGTGGGGAACAGTGGCCGGGGTCACAGAGTTCCCAAACGCACTTGGACATCCTAAGAAAGCAAAATTCCCAAAAAGATAGTAACCACCTTAAAATCGAAATGCGTAACATACAAAAGAGACAGAGCTTAGAGGGGGAAAGGGGGGGCCGGGTGCGAGAATTTCTCCGTTGTTAATCAAGTGACATTTGTTTGGTGACCGTTTGGTAAAACACGCCTTTCAAAAGGGTGGGATAGTCCTTCACCCGGAAAAGGTGGCGAGCACCGTGATCTACATCATAGTCAATGGCCCTGCCCGCTACCAAGGCCCGCAGATTGTTCTCGTGGACTTGATCGCCTACGGTTATGACGTACATGTCAATTTTGCTGGCTTTGGCAGCTTGTGCCTGCTCCTCTACATTGTTAACCAGGTCTCCCTGGGACCTGCCATCAGTGAACAAGAGGAGCTTCCTCTGGGCATTCTGGCTGGCCCTCTCGTAGTAGGCGTTGACATAGCTCACGGCACTGCCGACATCCGTGGCATCGTTCATGAACTTCATCCGCTCGATCTTCTCGGCCACCTCGGTGTAGTTGTCAGAGAACGGCACCTCGATAGCCTGGCCTTTGCTGTACTGAAGCACTGCCAGGCGCACTGAGGCCCCGGGGGCACGCTTGGCACCGAGGAAGCGCTCGGCCAGCCGCTTGACAAAGGTCTTGCCCATCTCAAAGTTTTTGCTCCCCACGCTGGTGGAGCTGTCGACCAGCAGGGCGATGTCCGTCGACACGTTGAAGTGAACTGCAGAGGAAGCGGATGCCGTTAGCCACCACCGTTGACGGCTAAAACAATGGGCTGTTGCTATTAAAATGGGCAGCTGCTGAATGCCTGGATGCTGAAGCAGCGCCCACGGAGGTGCTTTGGCAATCTGGCCTGTAAATCTGCGCTCCCTCAGTTTTCTGCTTCCTACAACCCAGCAAGGACGTGGGAGTATTTCAGATTTTTTAAAGAGGTGGGCACGGATGAACTGTTCAAGATGGCTTCCACAGCCAGTCCAAGGCAGGAAGGAGCCCACTGACCGCAGGGAGATGAACTCCTGAGACAGGACTCCTTGTAGTCCAGCAAAGGGCAGGAACATCCATTGCCCTTCAAGCCCCGTAAGGGATTTACGTTTGTCCGCAGCTCCAGCCTCCCCACTATCCTCCACCCGCCGCATCATGCTGGAATGTCCCCTCCCTTCAAAGCTGCTGGAGACGCTCACAATTGATAGTAGGCCTGGGCATCTACAGTGGGCAACTCTGCTGTAACATGGCTGAACCCACAGATGTTAGCCTGACCGGGGGTTGTGCATGTCTCTTGGGCTGAGCCCACCCTTCACTCTAAAAATCATGGCCTAAGCCCTTAACTAATAAAGAAAATATGTTGGAAGTGTACTTACTTGGACAGGAATAGTCTGGGCACTTCTTTTCTGTAGGAGAAAATGCAAAAAACATTAGCAAAAGGAAAAAAAAGATGCAAGTAGCGATTGTTTAAAAACCCAAATCGAGATAAGGAGCCTCGGGCCTTTCTGTCAACGGGAGGCTCGAGGTGTGACAGTGCGATGTCCACTTGCCTCTGCAGATGAACTGAGTGACGTTCTCAAGGAAGGCGTCCTCCAGCAGCTCCATGAAGTTGTCCCGCTGCAAGCTGAGCCCAGGGGTTGGAGCCGACTCACAGGCGATCTGCCGCAGGCTTTCGGAGGCCGGCTCGTTGCGGAAGATGTCGTTCACGCCGACCGAGACAACCTGGAGCGCAACGAGAAGCAAGTGAGTGGCCTAGGCAGAAGCAGGAAAACAAACCGCGGCCCCCTCCAAGACGGAAACGAAAGCCGGCATCGGTTAAGAGATAGTCGAGAATGAAGGAAAGGAGCCCTACGTTGGCTTCATTGCAGAGTGACGACAACGACTTGGGGTCTCTCAAAATGTCTGACCGCCCGTCAGTGAGGACCAGGGCGACCCGGACTTGGCTAAGTGACCCTCTGAAGGCTGCCTTCGACCAGTCCAGTGCAGTTCCAGTAAACGTACCTCCAGCAATCCATTGGAGGTTCTTGATTGCACTGCGAGTGGAGAAAAGGAAGAATTTCACCCTTCTGATAATATGAGACTTTTCTTCCCCCGCCACCCCCAACTGTGCTTCCCATCTGTTCCTCACGCTGTGCTGAAGGCCAGCATTCAGCTCCATGGATGTGGGTATGGCACTGGAGAGGGCTAAATGGGTGCTTGTCCATGCCCTATCCCGACAGGCTTGGCACTGGGATTGCCGGCAGAATGCCCGACTGCAGAGGGCTTCGTGAACCGGATTTCACCTGGGCCTCCGCTGGCCCCTGGGGATGGCGGCATGGTGGCTCAGTGATTAGCACTGCTGCCTCACAGCCCCAGGGACCCAGGTCTGAATCCACCCTTGGCCGATTGTGCAAACTCCACACAGTCTCCCTGTGTCCGCTTGGGTTTCCTCCGGGTGCTCCAGTTTCCTCCCACAGTCCAAAGATGTGCAGATTAGGTGGGTTGGCCGTGTTAAACTGCCCATAGTGTCCAGGGATGTGTAGGCTAGGTGGGTTAGCCATGGAGTAGAGCAGGGTTGCAGGTGGGTCTGGTTGGGATACTGTTCAGAGGGTCAGTATGGACTCAATGGGCCGAATGGTTTGCTTCCACACTGTAGGGACTCTATGATAACCCTGTGGCATGGCGGGGGATATCCAGCAGTAGTTGAGAGTTGCACAATTGCTGCTCCAGACGGGCAGTACAGATTGGGTGCACAAGTGGTTCGATCTCGCTGGGAGTGGCTGATCAGAAGGCTGCCTCTGGCAGTAATGTTTAATTGTGCATGGGTCACCTGAAGGTCTTGTCACGCAAACATGGCAAATAGCAGCAGAAGCAGGTCATTCGCCTCCCGCACACCTGAAGCCCTGCCCTGCCATTCAGTAAGATCATGGCTGATCCATTTATGCTTCAAGTTCCACGCTGCCGTCTACCCACTGAGGACCCTTCATTCCCTGCCCAACAAGAATCCATCTGTCTTGGTCCTAAAAGTATTCAATGATCCCCAACCCCACCTCCTCCTGAGGTCCTTCCAAAGTCGCACAACCCTTAGGGGGGATAAAGAAATCTCTTCCTATCCACCATGAAAAGGTGACCCCTAGAGTTTTAACGAGTGCCCCCTGGTTCTGGACTGACCCTCAAGAGGAAACATCCTGCCCACATCCACCTTGTTAAGACCATTCAGAAGCATATAAGTCACCACTCCCTCTCCAGTGGTAACAAGCTCAGTCTGTCCAACCTGTCCTCAACAGCCAACCCATTCATTCCAAGCACCAAGCTAGTAAACCTCTTCTGAACCACCTCTAATACATTTGAATCCTTTCTGAAATAAGGTGGCCCTGTATAACTGAAGCATAACATTATCATTTTTATGTTCCAATTTCCCCTATAATTCGCCGAGCTTGCTTCAGATAGCCCAGCTGTCATGTCAACATGGTTGCCCTTATTTTAGGTTTGAAGTGCTAGTCTTAGACCCATTCTTCTAACTTTCAAATTGGATGTAAATTCATGTTGTGATGACTGCTATCTAGGGATGCCTGAACTCTGAAGTTATTAATCAATCCTGTCACATTACACAATACCCAAGTCTAATATAAACCCTTTCTGGTAAGTTCCAAGGTGTGGTTGTTTGAAGAAACTGTCTCTAAAGCATTCTATGAACTCCCCATCCAGGCTATTCCTGCTAATCTAATTTTGCCAGTCTATATGTAGATGAACCCCCAACATTAATTCCAGGTGCTGCTTAAATTGGCTGTCCTTGTTGCTCAGTCTCTGCTGAATTGGCATCTTACATCTACAATGGCTGTAGCTCAGCATTTTACACCATGCCCCCACAATGCTAAACTGCCCTGCTCCGGTTCAAGGTCACCCTCCCAGGGTCTCCATTCATAACGGAGAGGCTGATGTGTTGTATGTGTTCTATTCCCCCTTTTCCCAAAGCCTTTCCAATGCAACAGGGTATGTTAACCACGGAAGCAAACCACCAATCAAAATGTGTGACACGTACACTTTTAGCTCCAGCAGAGTGTTAATGTTGGGATCAACCATTGAGACTAACTCCTCAGTTCCTGCGTGACTGTACTGGACGACTCCAACATTGGACTCCTTGCCATCAAACTACAGATGACAAACAGAGAGAAGAGTTAGTACGTAGAATACAGGGTCTCTCAAATCTCTTCCTCTGCAGTTCTTGGTTCCTCGTCATTTCAAATGTTTACATTAGCTCCAAAACAGGCTTAGGTGACTAGGCTTAGAGAAGATTAACATGAACAGGATATACACAAGATATGGTCCAATTAGTGTAAGCGTGAGGCCCATCATATTGGAGCTTCAAAATGGCAAGGAGCTAGCAACTGTACACAGGAAGTGGTTTGAGAGCCACCAATCATTAAAGGTCAGCTCCAAGAATCAGAAAGGGTCAAGTGAATGTTGGTCTTTTCCCAAACAGGACTTGACAGACAGAGGGCAGGAGATTATGCTTTGATTGTATAGAAACCTGCCAGGTGATCCACTCTTCAGTTCCAGTCACTACATCCCAAGAAAGGATCTGCTGCCCTCAGAGTGCACTGCAGATAAACTACATTGATTCTGGGGCTTAAGAGAATTGAACGTCAAGAACAGACCTATATTTCCTTCAGTAAAGATGATTCAGGGCTGTTCTAATGCAACATATCAAACATTGGAAGATTCAGCAGGGTTAGGATTAGATTGTGGGGAGAATTTACTACTAGCAGGGGAGTGTTCGGCCTGTTAGAAATAAACTTAGGAAACATCGTCTTCTACACACAGGGCAGTGCAGGTTGGACAGACTGTCACTGCCTTCCTAAGGTTATATGTCTTAAAACAATTAAGTGGGTTTGAATGCAATTTTTATTTTTACAGTTGCGCATTTTGTTAGTGATGATTTGCTCCCTGACCATGAGGGGCACGTTTTGCATTCCCAATTCTGATCAAAATCACTGTTATACATGTAGGCAGCATGTATCCTGTGAAAAAATATCAATAAACTGCATAAAGCCAGTAAGTACCAGGAGGTTTTCCTCTATGCTATTCTTCACATACAGCGCACATTATTGTTTTGAGCCTGCTTCGTATTTGATTACAGCATGGAGAATAATAGCCATAAGAGGATTTACCACTCCCAGGGCACCCTTAAAGGAACATAACTGGTATATGCTACACATTATAGCTACCAACTCTACTCTTTGACTGAAGTTGATCCAACAGTTGTGCTTTACTTTATATTACAGTGAAAATACGATTTTACTCAAAGACTTTTACAACTTCAAACCTGAATCTGATCCCACCAGAATCACCATTTTCTAGATTTCAGCTTGCTTGCACTCCATGCCTTAAAATTCAAATCTGTGATCATTCCCTCTAAATAATTGCCTATTTGTGGTCTGTTCTGAATTTAACATGCGTGCTATAATTGAGGTTTCCTTCTTTCATGCCTTGTGCAGTGCACTTAGAGATGAGACAATCTGGTTTCAAATTAAGTCACAAAGATGGCTGCAAGGAAAGGGTGCTCATCTCATTGACCACTGCACTGCTACCCTCCCCCTCTAAACTATGGTTTAATAGAGAGCTTTCGCAACTGCTGTGCATCTTGGGATAGGCCCATCTCCATGATCATCTTCTCAACCAAAAAATAGCACTCATTCTACACACCACAGCCAAGCACCCTTTGAGGCAAAAAAAACTATGGTTTATTCCTGGGTGAGGATTGCGGCTTTATACTAATTAGAATAAGTTGAAATCATGTAGTTTTTTCCCCCATTGATGGAGGGATCGGGACAAGATTTAAGGTAAAAAGCAGAAGGTTCAGAGGAGATGTGAGGAAAAATATTTTCACCTGGAGGGTGTTGGGAATCTGGAACTCGCTGTCTGTAGGGTTGGTAGGGACAGAAACCCTCAGAATATTTAGGAAATGTTTAGTCGTGCGCTTGTGATGCCAAAGCATACAAGGTTATGGACCAAGTGCTGGAAAATGGAATTAGAATGGCTTGGTGGTTGTTTTTGATCAGCAAAGATGCAATGGGCCAAAGGGTCTTTATCTGTGCTGTAGATCTCTAGGGCTCTAATGACATCCAGGGGTGAGGGTGAGGGAGGAGGCTTTACCTTCTTTGAAAACACACCAATTAATTAATGCAATGGGGCAAAATCCATCTCCCTGCTGCTTTTACAGTCAGTCATTCACTGGTTTTAAATTTAATGGTAAAGCCCATTGTTGGGACTGCATCTAACCATGTCATGTTCGGCTGGGAGTGTTTAACACAATTTTAAATTCCCCAGCCTTCCCTTACATGAGCAATAAATTTACATAATGAAAAGGGGAAAAAAAATTAAGCTGCATTGCAGATGACTCCCGTTGTTTAAATAAAAGAAAAACAAATGAAGCAATGCCAAGATCAAAAATTCATGTCTGCTCAACTGAGAAATCCAGTCAGTCAGTCTTTCTTGTTGGTTAGCAAAGTTAAAGATTTGTTCTCACCCTGATTTTTTCATCTCTGCTCAGTCTCTCTATCACCGTGATTATGAACTGCTTGGCTAGAGCAAAGTTTTGGTCTCCGATACTCTCTGAGCTGTCCACTACAAACAGGAGGTCGATGGGCCCACACTTGCACTCTGCAACATAGACACAATCAAAAATTATCCATACAATTCTCTGGATTGCAATCATCTCCAAGTTTCTTATTCCTCACACGCCTTGCGTGCAGCTGGGATCTTCCACTGATTTCACCTCAGCCTTGTTAATACTCTTTATTCTCTGGTGAACTTCTGCTTATCAGAGGGATTTCACCACTGTTGCAGGTGCTGGATATGCAGTCAGGACAGCTAAACTGAATTAACATACAATATTAGCCAAAGATCAAATAGAATATTGGGATAGGTTTGAGGGGTTGAATGGCTTCCATCTTCCCAGGAGGATGAGGAGGAGTGGAAGGTACTGTGTTAGTTCATTCATCCACAGAACGCTGACTCCCCAAATCACATCATTCATTGTTTTTAGCCATAAATCTCCCTCCTAATATTTTCCTGGTGTTGGGAAAAACAGGAAATAAGCTCTCTTATTGCAGCCGCATTCCTCTGCAAATTGACTATGTCGGTGTATTATCTTCAATATATCAGAGAGTTGTTTTGTTTTAAAATAGTTTCAGATGTCCCACGGGTCACTGACCTTACTAGAAAAGGGACTCCCAAAAGCAGAAGCCCAGTTTTGAACTAGCGTTAGAGATCATTATGGCTGAACCATCAATGTGGAGGAGTTACTCCGTTAAAATCTTGAAACCTTATTAATGGTTCTTCCACCTTGGTTAATAGATTGTCATCTTTCAGGGCACTGTCTGAAATAGTTCGGTTCACATTGCTTACATGCTAACACAGACCGATTGGCTAGGTGATGTCTCTAAATTGCTGTCAAACTGAGGTGAAGCATCGACACTATTTGAAGTAAGGGATCATCTACAAATACTCAGGCTCGAGGGAAAAATCAAGTAAATTTAACAAAGGATAGAGTCTTCAAATGGTAAACAACAATCATATCAGGCTTATCTGCATCAAACAATTTACTCACCGCAGCAAGCTGTGAAAAAAGGGGAAAAAAGAAGGGAAATTAGCAATAATTGTTCATGGGATTAATAGTACGTTATTCCTATTTTAATTAATTCTCCATCCAGTCATATTGTCACCTCAAGTTTGTGCCTTGTAATTGTACGTAATTTTTTTTAATAAAAGAAAATTTGTTCACAGGATGTGGGGTTCGCTGGCAAGGGATATCCATCCCCTAAATGCCGTGGAGAAGGCAATGGTGATCTGCATTCTCAAACTGCTTCAGTTCGCCATGGGTAGGTACACCCATAGTGCTATTTGAGAGTGCAGGTTTAGGAGGGACAGTTTGGAAAATTACCCCTGTGCCTTTTTGTTGAAGGCGAGTAATTGATGTGCCATCTTGGGTGTGGCTCAAAGAATCTGCTGTATGCCCCATCACTCACTGATGCCATTCTTTGCCATATGAAGGCTGGTTCAACGGTGCCCATGGGTATTTGGCACACAGTGCTATGCCATTTGGCACATGAATTTGGAAGGATGAAACAAATTTGAAAAGTATGATATCTCAAAGCAGCTGAGGGGATCTGATAGCAACCTGAATGGAAATCATAGCCGACCCTGTAGCCGATCGCTCAAGTCAAATGGAGGATCCTTATTGCCGCTCTGCCTGAGACTCAACATCGACTGAGAACCACAACAGACCAGCACACCCTTCAGCTGAGCCTGGAGATAGGACATTCAGATCTCATAACCTTCAAATGGCAGCATACTGAGTCCTAATACCCAATTCACTGCTTTGAAAAAGTCTGATTGATGGTTCACTTACAGCACATGCGCTTAATGATGTCCAATATTTCACATTCCTGTTAAAGAACAAGAGGAGGATCAGGAATCTTAGGCCATACACTCCAACCCCTAATGATCTAGGGCTGTTCAAATATTAATATGTGTCAAAAGCAGTTCTCTATACATACCGAAGGTCCTGGTGGTCCTGGCGGTCCTGGGGGTCCCTGAGGGCGAAACAGAACAAGTAAGACACGATTGTTATTAGTTATATTTGTCGGCTTTGAATTTACACATCACTTTATTCTTGTGGAATAATTAGTGTTAGTGTTAGTATTAGTGTTTCAGTCGGATATGTCCTTTGAGCTTGTTTAAAGGAACCAGGGAGATGACAGCATCAAAAGAGGGGATAAATGAATGCAAGGTGAAAGCAAATTAAAACGGATTCAAATGACAGCCTTTCCCAAAGCCGTGACTATTGGAACAAATCCATGCAAGTCCTCCGCTGTGATTAAACCCCGCATCTTGTTTCTGAATGACCATGCACCTTCGCGTTTGGATCCTGCTTAACTTTACAAAGTGCCTTTCAATATTGTGCTTTGTGGTAAATGGCAAGCATCCTTCCGAGGAACCACAGGTAGCTGGAACGTCGAAACAAACTGATCTCCATGGATTTTTAGCGGGCTGTGAGCACCTGTTTGTATTCTGGGATGCGTTTTACCAACGGGTGAAGTTGGGGGTGGGGGGGAGCAGTGTTGGAGGAGCCTGTGGTCATATATGACTGATGCCAACATCCAACATCAGCCCTTTAGCTTATGTACTGCCTCTGTCTGTACCAAGTACATTTTTCCCAACCGATTTCATGCGCCCACATCCTGGCACATATTCTACCCTGGCACACATGCAGTTATTTATTTTCCTTTTTGCTTTTTTCTCTCGGCCCTTGCCCTGTGGTAGGCACACTGATGGCTCAGGAAAGGGGGCCAGCAGTAGCGTGCCCTGGAAGAAAACAAAAATCCACATAGTTGGAACAGCACCACGCTAAGTCAGCTTACCTTGAGCTGAACTTGAGCATTTCAAAAAGCCACAAGTTGCTGCTCTAAAAGCAGGCCTAACGGCTGAGCTAAATCAGCACTACTCCTTGATACACGGTGTTCAGGAAACCAAAGTCAGCATTTACACCTTATTGTCATCTTTTACTACGCCAGCAAACCTACAACATTGCACAGCATCAGTGAGAAGGGAAACAAGCAAAATCATGCTAATAATTGTTCCGTTAAGCTGTAGATGGGAAGCCAACAAAGTCAACCCAAAGTCAGCTAAACTTCTGGCAGGTTTGATCAAAAGCACAATGAGGACAGGGACAAAGAGGGTATTTTTGGATAGAGCTTTCAGTGGGTCACAACGTTCGGAGCTTGCAGACGTTGTGGTCCATGAAGGAGTGCGTGACATGGAGGTGGTTGGTGGGGGTGGGGGGTGCTTTCTGACCATTCAACCATTGAACCCTAATGAACATTTCCAAGCCAAGTCAATTTATAATCTTAGGCAGGAGCTCCTCCAGTGAAGGACAGGGGAGGAAGTGGCAGCTGCTGCAGGTTTAGAATGATCGCAGGTTCTTAAAAAGGACCCTCAGCGAAAGGCCCCCATTATCCTGGCTTAGACGTCAGGGCAAGCCTGCCTTCCATGTGACTGGGTCACCCTGAGATCAGGGCGAGATGTGCCCCACCATCTGGGAGGGAGTCCTTCCTCAGAGACACTAATCTCAGCAGCGCCACTGGGAGCAAGGGGCCACCTGCTGCAATTGCAGGCAATCCTTCACATTGAGGAGCCACTGTTGGAAAGTCAGTGGAGGGTTTCACTGGCATTGGTTGGGCATGCCTTGGTGGGGGGGGGAGGCCAAGTTATGGACCGTGATGGGGATGGGCGGGGGGGGGGGGGTGGGGGGGGGGGGTGCAAGAGATTGGCTGCCATTGAGATGGCTTGGAGAAGAACATGCAGCAATTGGAGATTCTGGGTGGAAAACAGGGTGCTAGTATGATGGAAAGCACCAAACCATTAGTGGGCTGATAGGAATTCTAACTAGCTACTGTTATTTCTGGAGCACCATCGACGTTTGCATGCAAGTCAACCTTCGAAGCCTTGGAAAATTTCCACAGAAACGCTAGGTTGACATATACACGGTACAAGGTTGAACTACCATTAAGTGAAACACCCACTTGGGCGACACGGTGGCTCAGTGGTTAGCAATGCTGCCTCACAGAGTCAGGGATGTCCCACAATCTGTGCAGGTTACAGGGATTGGCCACGCTAAATTGACCATGGTATCCAGGGATGTACAGGCCAAGTGGGTTAGCCATGGGGAATGTAGAGTTATGGGTGGTGGTGGTCTCACTGGGATGCTTTTCGGAGGGTCGGTGCAGACTGAATGCTTTCTTTCTACACTTTAGGGATTTTATGATTTGATGGGTGGAAAATGGAAGCTGACTACTAATATGCGTAGCAAGTTGTGGCCAAAGAATAGAGAGGAGTGTTGTAGGAGCTCGATATACAAAAGCTGGTCTTTTGACGAAAGAAAATGGGGTCTCCATATACACTGGCTTGACTTGGACATCATGATTTAAAGGTTATTATTTAATTTTTTTCCTTTCCGATCTTTCCCTCCTTCTCTCTCTTGGGTCCCCCGCTTAACGTTCATTATCATGTTTGCGGTCAATCATCCTGGAGTCAGTTGCTTCCCATTGCCAAAAAAAAATACAGATTTCCTTTTATGCGCTCTTCCTAGCTTACTTCGAGCATTCAATCCAAGTCTCAGTTCAGCAGCCAGCTATTGTCAGACATATATCCACTCCCTTAACATTCCCCATGTTCTGGGAGTAAGGGATTATGGGGAAGCTCCCTCCACACCCCCTGGATTGTAGTCAGGTTAACTGAGCTTCAGAGGTCATGATCTTCCCAAGCAACGTTGATGCAAAATGTTCCAGGAAAGGATCAGGGTCAGAACTCACGGATGAGGCAATTTGGGAGCTGCTTCCTGGCATACTGAGTCTGCTCTTTCTTTTCCCTCATTTATTAATTGGTTGAGAGCATCAACGGCCAGAACTTATTGCTCATCCCAGAGGGCAGTTAAGAGTCAGTCACATTGCTGTGAAGTCACATGTAGTCCAGCCCAGGTAAGGATAGTAGGTTCCTTCCCTGAAGGACATTAGTTAACCAGATGGGTTTTCCAACAATTCATAGTCATCATTAGATTCTTAATTCCAATTATGTTTTAAATTATTGAATTCAAATTTCACCATGTGCCTTGGTGGGATTTGAACCCAGATCCCCTGGAACATTCCTTGGGTCTCCAGATTTAACAGTCCAGCAATAATACCACTAGGCCATCGCCTCCTCTCAACCCTCAGTAGGCAGAGTAAGCCTCAAACTTCGCACTGGGCACTTAGGAGTTGGCCGGCTACCAGACCGAAGAGATGGACATGACAGCAGAGTTGTTGTGCTATACAGGATCAGAGACAAGAATGACCAACATCAACTTCTCAGGGCAGCAACCGAGGGCAGGAAATGTAATATCCCAGAGAATTAGGACAATGGGACCACGAGAAGCGTCATACAACCTGAGTCCTAAGGCTCTATAAACCCGATACAGGGAACCCCGTTTAAAAGTAGTAGATAAGAAGATTTGCCAATAGGTAAAGTGGGGAAATTAGCCATTGTAACTGTGCAATGCTGAAAAAAAAGAGAGGCCATTTCATCTTCCATCAGGACAGACACAAGAATGCCAAATTTCAAACAAGTTGGATTTTCCAGGAAGACTACGGTTCCCTGTTTGTTCCTCCACGGCAACACCTCAGCCAATTAGAGTCAACTTAGCAGCCAGCCATCATCATCATTCTCTCAAATCGTTCTGATGGTTGGAAATTTGGTGTTCTTGCATTTGTCCTGACACAACGTTTCATCAACGCACTCCACTTTTCAACAAGGCCTGTACCATTGAGTGACCAGATGTGACAGCCACTGAACTACCCATGGCGAGTTAGACCCAATGGTTTTTAAGAACACAAGCCCTGGCTGTCCTGAGACAAGGGTCACAGCAGCCAACTGGCAGTGTTCACCCACATCCAAGGGATAGACAAAGCCAGTTGGGGAGTGTCAACGGACTTCAAAGAGGTGGACATGGATGACGGAGATGTTACCAGTTAGAGTATGTCCTCTGCAGAGTCGCTCTCCGGGCAACCTGAAACTGAGGAACTGGGTGACAGGATGGGGCCGAAAGTGGGTGCCTCGTTGGGCACGCAAGACCGACAGGTTCCAACAACAGTTGGATCTTCGGCCTTGACACTCGGGAGCATGCTGTGCTGCATTGGCCACACCCCCTTCACAAGTGGCGGTCCATCTGGTTCCTGCGCGAGGCCTCACACAGTAGGCAATGCCGCTGCAGGGCCGGGAAGAGCCAAACCCCACCCGAAATCAAAACCGGGTGTCGCGTGAGCTCAGGTCCAAAGAGACGTCAGCCACAGCATCCTAGACCAACATCCATCACTCAAATCCCATCACCCTTTACCGGGCTGCCGTTCAAACAAACTCAGCCGAGGTTCAACAGCATGTACAACTCCTTACCGGCTCTCCCTCTGCGCCTCTGTAACCCTTGGCTCCTTTGCGACCTCTATCACCTGGAACATCGTTCTAAGGAAGTAATCACAGAGAGGCGAGTTTGCACAGTCAGTCATCGGTACATATGTTTCACTCTGCAAATACCGGTCACCGAGCTAAACTGAGGATCAACTCCTGTTGCTTTTGTAACAAATGCAAATAACTCTGATGTCTAGAGATGAGAAAAAATGATATTTCTGCATCCCCCGCCAGTCTCGAAATACAGTTTCCTGGCAGGTAACACAGACAGCTGTCGGAGTGCTGTATTGTACTTGTACTGTGATTTAGCCAGAACGACATGGGTTCGAATCCCAGTCAAAGGACTCAATTACAAAATGCAGGCTGATCAGCCACTGTGGCACCGAGGGAATGCTGCGCTGTCGAAGGTGCTGTCTTTGGATGAGATATTTACACAAGGTTCTCTGTGACAAACAGGCCAAAGAGAACATGGCACCGTTTCAAAGAAAGGGTACTCTGGACAACATTCATCGCTCGACCAAGATTGTAAAACACAGATCCGCTCATTATGGTATTGTCTGTGGGAGCTTACTGTGTACAAGCTGGCCGCTGTGTTTTCACATTTCATCAAATAGGCTTTGCGTTCGTAAACGGGGACGTTAAATAAAAAAGATCTTTCCTCAAAGTTTCTAGGACGAGACGAGACCACGCCTAAACTCCTGTCTCTCGTATTAACTCTGGAACAGAGAATGCTCATCGCCTTACAGGGCTGGAATATGCTGCTGAACTTCTCACCCCCATCAATTTTCAATCCTGTCACATGCTCTGGTATGTCCAAACAGGGCTTAAAACATCATTTGGCGCTCACTGCAAAGGGAGGCTATTTAAAAAGTCAGGGCTGATCGTTTACAGAGCTGTCGCTGCAGTACACGCAGTTTGGGATGTTATGCACGCAGCGTGTTACAGGTTGCTTTGAGTCAGTGCTAATTTTTACATCTGTAAAAGTCGATTAAGTGGACCACTGTTGCTACTAGCCTTTCTACATATCACAGGCTGGATGATCAACTGTATTGACACTGACTGGGGACTACGGACAGGTTCAATGGGTTCTTAAAAGCCAAGCTTCCGAACTGCTGCTCAACAATATTCCAAGTATCTAGAAGAATGTAGGTGTGGACTTGTTGGGCCGAAGGGCCTGTTTCCACTGTGTAGGGATTCTATGACTCCAAGAACGAGGAGTGTTGACTAAGTTTCAGAGAAGACCACCCAGCATCCAACCTTCCGGGCTTTCACACCGTCTTTTGAAAATGCCACGTGTACATTCAGCCAAAGCTCTGGAATTCTGGCCCTGAACCTCCCTAGTTCCTTACCTCTCTGCCCTCCCTCCTTTGACCAAACTTTCAGTCACCTTCCGAACAACACCGTGCATGGCTCAATGTCAATTTGTGTCTGGAAATGGTCCAGCAACCCCCGGGGTTTTTTTTTTAAAATGGTGTTCAGTGCAGTTTGTGACTGCAAGGCGAGTGAGCAACCTTAATTTAAGAAAAAAAAACACACATTGTCCTTTTGCTACATAAGAAGACCAATGGGGCTCTAATTTGGTCAAATTTTGGCAAAGAAAGAGTTAAAACTGGCCAATGCTGAAAGGGGATCGAACAGAAACAGCTGTGTTAAAAATGATCTGCTTGATCTGGACATGCAGTTTCTGTTCAGAACTGTCAAATATTTGTGGGGAGCAGCGATCCTAATTTTGTTTAGCTAGCACTGGCAGAATTATCTCGGAGTCTCTGGGAATAGAAAGGTCAGTCTCCCAGGAAGAGCTCAGACGTGGCAGTGCCATTATCTGAAGGAGAGTGAGATTGAATCAATTTTGTCGATCCAGTTCTGGTTCAGAGCGTCCACTGAAACACGGCCATTGCATGAGGGGCCATTACCTGGCATCAGGAACCCTGGATACTGTCCTCGCTTTTCTTGGCGAAGCAATACCAGTGGAGATTAACTGAGGTCCTGAGTTCTGGTAACCAGGCACTGGATGGTAGACTTGGTGGGGAGGGTGGGTAGATGGAGGGATGTGAGGGATGTAAGTTGAAGGAGATTGTTTCTGGTCCTGCAACGATTGTGGAAAAAAAAGAGAGAGAAGTCTTTGGATTTCCCCGTACTTCCGGGTCAAAATGTCTGGTCCTGGCCAAACTGCTTGAATACTGAAACAATTTGGAGGAGAGGAGACCATCGCCGCCGGGTAAAGGAGGAAGGAAAATATGTTTTCTGGAAACCAATGTCCTGGAACCAAGCCAGAGAAGCCAATCCAGGACATCCCAGCTGCTTCATCCCCATGTACAGCAGCTGAGAGAGAGCAAAGAAAATGGGGGAACCAGTTTTTGGGGTCACTGGGTCTGGTCCTCACAGCTATTCCTGAATGGATCAGTACGCTAACTGAACCACCCGCGACTGATCTCAGCCGATAACAGCACTCTGCATTTGGGCGGCACCTTTGCTGCAGGGGAGCATCCCAAAGTGCTTCACAGGAGCTCTGTCGGATCAAAGACAGACACTGAGCCATGTTTAAATCGGGAGACAGGCCCATACGCTGAGACAAAGAGCTGGCTTTTCACAGACTCTTCAAGGAGCAGAGAGATAGCATGAGGGAGAAGTTGGGGTGGGGGGATAGTGGTGGACATGGGGTTGGTCTCAGACATTAGGTCCAGGTAGCTGAAGGTGTGGGCACAAAAATGGAAGGACACAAGAAAGTCAGGGGTGCGCAGGAGGCCAAAGTTTAAAAGGTAAGTACAGCTCTCAGAGGTTTGTCAGACCACAGTAGCTTATAGTTAGGACTCAATCATGCTTGCCCCAGTGTGTGTCAAAGGCGGTTGTAATTGGAGGCTAATCACTACCTATTATGTATTCTAAAGAAGGTCAGGGTGCAGGATGGAGTCCTGAAGATAGTTACTTTTACTGTATTCATTGTATCTTGAAGCAACGTTTTGAGCTCTATTACTATTACCGGCTGCACATTCCAAACTTAATCACCTCCCAACAGCTGAGAAAATAGTTAATGTTTGGGTCGGACATAGAAATAAGTGACACTTTTAACTCCAGCTGTAGTTGGGAGTCTAATTCCAAGAAAATGGAGAGGTCAGAAGGATGGGGACAGTTGCACTCTCAGGAGCCATAATAACCCGGTGACTGTCACTGGGCTATTCCACTGGGGTGCCATCACCACTAGGCACAATCCTCACCCTCCAGTAATAGGAGGGACATTGCTTGGCTTCTCGCTGCAATTGAATGGCTCTCACTTCAGTTCCCATTTGGGACTCTCACAACCAATGGAGACTGGTCAGGGAAACGGACTCAAAGCAGGTCAACAGGACTGAGGTACAGAACAACCAAAGATCTGAGTGAGTGGCTAACGAAGCCTGCATGGCCTCCTCCTGGACCTGTGGCTGAACATCAAGCCTGGGGCTGTCCGCTCTCTTAAGGCAGAATGAGAAGCTACCGGACCCAGTGGTGGGAGTCCAAAACATATTACATTTTGATTGGTGACATACTGTTCCATTCATGCACAATCCAATTAAATGGTTTGTTGCAAAACGCACAGCACATCTTAGTAAATCCCATAGAACTTCTAACCTCAGCAAATCTAACCATATATACTCCATGCTTCTTCTAAAGTGTTGTCAATTCTAATTGGACACATTCTCAGAGGTAGCATCACTTCCTGCCACCAACCATCTGTCAACATCAATGCTTTTGGAACTAATAAACATCAGTGATAAATAGAAAACGGCAAAAACACACTCTCACACTGTTTCTCTTTCTTCCCGAGGGCTAGAAATTCAAGCGTGGATGGTCATTTTTCAGGCAACGGGTCACAAATATCCACACAAAGCCCCAAATGGGCGTCTGACCAAATCTCCGGGTTACACAGGCACCACACACAATCACTGTCACCGACAGAGACGAGGCGACTACTCTCCACGCCCCTCCATCCACCCCGCACCCCACCCCCCCACGTTAAAACAGTGACCCCTTCAAATTAGACCAAATGACAGTGGGGTTAGAGTGTATGTCTTCCCCCAGCCTACTAACTTCTCATCTTAAGTCATCACTTACATCTGGGCCAGGGTCTCCAGATTCACCATCATCACCTTTTGGACCTACGGAGCCTTTTGTTCCCTACATGAGAGGAGCAGAGAGAGAGAGAAAGAAACATGAGACACAGAGGAGGCCAATACATCTCCCATTCCACTTGCGGAGGAGAGTTTCTGACTGCCTGATGGAATCTGTCACTTTACACCTCAACTCAGTGTGAACTTGATAAACAATTCAGTATGCTGTGAACAAATAAGGGGAGTCAGTGCTTTTAGTATTGTTTTATTTTGAAACCAAAAAAGCAAAACAAGGCTTCTGTGTATCTTGTAAAGTTTCTCAAACAGCTCGTAATCATGGGCATCTGTTCCACATTGGTCAGGAATGTGTCTGGCTGTGGCTTATATTTTTCATGACAGCACCTGCTCCTTTTTTCTACGTTTCTGTACAGAAAGTAGACGAGGCCAAAAGACTGCATGGTTTAAGGAGGAGTTGGACATAGGGCTAAAGGGATCAGAAGATATGGAGAGAAAGCAGGAACAGGGTACTGAGATGGATGATCAGACTGAATGTTACAGCAGGACCAAAGGGCCAAATGGCCTACTCCTGCTCCTCTTTACTACATTTCACTGTTTTAACCTTCGTCATGGCTAATACATGCATGTCATACTATGAACTTTCAGTTCATACTTTTTAAAAACCTTTTGGATATGATAGTCTTGGAGTCAGGTAGGGTTGGCCCGGAGGAGTCTTCCAAATTCTCAGTGTTTATTATGTGTTTGGGGTGGGGACCTGGGAGAAGATCGGGGCAAAATTGTAGAATCTTACAGCTTGGTGTTACTCCACTGCCTGATGGGGTCTCCCCTTGATTTAAAAAATGTCCTCATCACGCTGTAGAACAAATTCTCAATTTTATCAAAGGCAGGGTATGGGTGGCATCCACTGGGCAGCAGCAGGGTGCTAATTACGATTCACCAAACCTCCCCCTGTTGAGGGTAACTTAGGGACACCGCAGGGATCTTCCCAATAATGGGCAGGAATCCCTCCCCCCCCATCAAGGGTGAATCCCAGCTTGTATGTTCGGCCTAGCCTCTAGGAATATCTGCTAAATGTGCCCCATTGTGGAACGGGAGGGAACGGTATGGCAATTTAGTTGATGTTCAGCCATGCATCCGACGCCCCCCACCGACTTGACTTCCCCTCAGTTTCCTTTTCGTACCTGGGGTCAAACAAAATTCCAGAGGGATTGCCACCAGACTCCAGGAATATGGCCGAAAGTCGGGACGGAATTGTCTTTGCCATCATGTGCCAGTCTCCCTAAGTTTACAGAATTCTGGTGCAGAATGGGAAGACCCAAATATTGGAGTAAGGCAGGCAAAAGAGATTGGCTCCTTGCCATCCATCTTAAGGACAAGGGGCATATACTTGACCCGACTGCAACATCATTGGGCCAATTCCATGCCAGCTTTGGTTCCCTGCAGGGAATGCTGGGATACTCTTGCTGTGTCCTTTAGCTGCTTTTTTTTTTCTTTTAATCTCTTTTCCAGACATAAGTGAACATGTAAACTCCATGATGGGATATCGAGTAGGATATATAACATTTTCCAACAGTAGCCTAGGATTTAGGAAAAACGACTTACGTTAGGCCCTGGATTTCCTTGGATACCAGGAATACCCTATCAAAAAGGCAAACAAAACATTTATCAGATTTACCACGTTACATTAGAAATTATCATTTCAGAAAAAAAACTACCTTGTCTGGTACTCAGGCTAGCGCATATTTAAACTATTCCCATTTCACATTGCGCTGGTTCAAAGAGTTATGTTTATATAGTGCTTACAACTACCACCAGATGTCTCAAAGCTCTCTACAGCCAAAGAAGGTACTTTTTTTAAAAAAAATTAAGGTCACTGTTATCGTGCAAGAAACACAGCCACAATTTACGCACAGCAAGCTCCCACAAACAGCAAGACGATAATGGCCAGACGATCTGCTTTTTGTCATGTCAGTTGAGGGAGAAATATTGATCAAAGCATCCAGGGAAAACTCCCCTGCTCTTCAACCAAACAGTTTCATTGTTACGCTAACCCAAAGCAGATAGATGATAAATTTAGTTTAACTCTTACAAAGAAAGACAGCACCTCTGATAGTGCAGCCCTCCCGTGGTAGGATTTCTGGTGTGTTCACGCTCCTGATTTGGACTTGAACTCAGAACCTACTGACTCAGTTGAGCGTTGTCCCAACTATTACTCAATGCTCGATGTAGATCAATAGGAATCCTCCCAGCTGGCAGAGGGGACAGTAGTTCTGATCTGGAGACACCGCAAGTTGGAAAAGCTTTCTGCACTTCACTTACCCTCTATCATCAGATCACTGCTCTGACAGCCAAGGAACAATAGTAAGAAGCTGTGAGTCTCCTGAAGGTCTAGCATGTTTATCCAGCGAATACCTGAACTGATACCGACAGGGATGTCCCACATTCAATCCTTGAATCATGTAACGTTTGCTGGGCTCAGGCCAGCCATTAATCTGGAGCAGGGCTACATGCCTTGGTGCTCCATAGCTAAGGACAGTGGGGAGTAAGCTCCTCTATTAAAAGGGGATGGGGTCCACAGTGTTCCATCTGTCCCACAGGTTCATCCTGTTCTGTAACCAAAGTCATCACCATCACCAGCAGTCCTCGGTAGACGAGGATAACTCTCTTCCAAACCGTCAGGGAGAGTCCATAGGTGGACGTACAGACCGACCTGGCTTCCACAGGCTTTGTTACACTAGCGGCAGAAAGTGGTCATGGGAAGGGGTGGGTGGGGCGTTGGTGTGGCAGTGCACTCCTTGCGCTGTTTGTTTTCGCCTGGCTTCTGCATTTCCACCCCCCACAAACGGCGAGTCTTGAGGTGCTTGACGCCATCCCGGATACTCCTCCTCCATTTCGGAGGGTCTTGGGCCAGTGATTCCCAGGTGTCTGTGGGAATGCCGCACTTTGCCAGTGAGGCCTTGAGGGTTTCTCTGTCGACCTGGGACTCACCTGCTGTTTGAGCTGGGAGTGGAGCACCTGCTCAGGGAGTCTCATGTTGGTCACGCGGACGACATGCCCAGCCCCTCGTAGCCGATCAAGTGTGGTCAGTGCCTCTGGGGATGCTGGGATACCTGAAGTGGTGACCAAGTCAACAACATGGAGTCGCACGTTCAAATCTTCAGGTAAATTTGCCAAAGAAGTTGACCGGAAATGACAGCGTACCAGCCTAAACCGAACTTGGGTTTAAGTCTCAAGAATCCTTCACCATGATTGAATTGCGTTGAAACTTTGTGGCCATGCCACGTAACAGTCAGGGGCATATATTGTATCACGCATCTTCACCAGGAGATGAGAATGTTCAAGCTTGGAAAGGAGACCATGGCCTATTCATTCCCGGTCAAGTTTCTGACCGGCAGTTACCAGATAAAATCAAGAATGTGGCGACGTTTGTCAAAGCAATTGCGAGTCAATTAACTCAGGCCGGGACTTGAAGTTGCAACTTGCTGACGTTAGTACAGTGTCTTCATCCATAAAGGAATGGGGGATGGAGGTTTATCTCAGCGGAAATAGATAAGCAGTGTGTCAAAAGGTTTAGCAGCCAGCGTTCATTGCTGAGGATTTAGAAGATGGTGGGCTCAAGTCCCACTCCAAGACTCAGCCAAGGCTGACCCGCCAGTGCAGTACTGCGGAGGTGCTGCACTGTCAGAGGTGCTGCCTATCGTGCAAGATGCCTGACCTGTGCACCCAGGTGGATATCTGAGACCCTGTAGCACTTCCCCGAAGTACAGGCGAATTCCTACTGGCCCCATTCATCAAGCCACATCTTTGAAGCTAATTAACTGGTCACTCTCATATCAAAGCTTGTGGGAGCTTGCTATGCACAACTGGCCACTACGTTACAACAGTGGCTTATCCTCCAAAGATCTTCACTTGCTGTCCCAACATCATGAATGACACCATCAAAACACTACGCTTTGACAACCTTATTAAACAATGTAGAAGCAATGAGGCCAAGAGATAATGCAATATAATGATGCTGAATGAAACAAGTAATCTGCCACTTACAGGTAATCCAGGTGGGCCCCTGGTCCCGTTGCCTGGGCTACCAGGTTCTCCCTGTTATCGAGAAAGTAAAAAAGGGAGAGAGTTAGAAAAAAGATGCACCATCTGTTAAAGTAATATATAAAAGGTTTTCAAGTGAAGCATCAATATAGGTCAAGTCAGAGACTAACTTTACAATCTGCCCTTGTCTGTAGAGCGTTACACTCCACTTCTGAGTGCTTCAAGTCACATTTCTGTCCAACTGAGCCACTTAGTCTGGCTCTGCACTTCTGCTTGCTGTCCAAATGTCCTTCAATAAACCTTTTTAACCCACACCCATTACAGGATTTTGATTTTAGAGGATTTCAATTTTAAAGCACTTGCAACAATATTTTGTGGGCAAGAAATCCCAAATTTCAAGCCCTCTTTGCTTAAGAAATGTTTCCTACCTTCCCACGAATATTATATTCTATTCTCCTTAATACTTTTTGGGATACAGTTGAACGTCTGTCACATCGCAACAACAGGCAGACCAAGTGAGAACAATTTTGTCTTCTTTACCTTCTCTCATGAACCAAAATGTCACCCCTAACATCTCAGTCTTGGGCAGGCTCTCTCCTCTTTCTTCATAGCTTTAATTCCACCCACCCACCCCCCATCTGTGACCGACATCCTAATGAGCCTTTTTTTTTGGGGGGGGGTGGGGCCAAGAGGTTTATTTAAACTGATCTACCGGGGACGGAAAGCCGCAGCGTGAGGTGGAATGTTGGCATTACGGCATTACGCCACCTGCACCTCCCCACTTCCACTTCCATACCCCACCCCACCACATGCACAAATATGGCCTAAGGGCAATGCCCATTAGTTTACCCAGTGAGCAACAGTGAGCGTGAATAGAACATGGCACATTGAAGACTGGACATTATTGGTTTGCAACCTGCCAATGGCGATGTAAGTTGGTGAAAGGTGTAGCATGGCTTAAGTGGCACAGGCACTGGCACTTGTGTGCACGCATGCACCCTGGAGACGCACAGCTGTCCTTATGGCCAAAATAATCCCGAGTTTTCCTTCACTGCGCAGTTTCGGTTCTAGCGCACATGGAACTGTGTGCCTCAGCTCTGCCTGGCAACCAGGGGAGCCAACTGATGGCAAGAAGGACCCAATACCCATCTTTAAAAAAAAAAGGGAGCTGATGGCTTAAAACAAGCAGGAGGATTGAAAATCCAGACTGGGTAAGGCCCCTCCTAAACGGAGCCGTGAAAAATCTCCGGGAACCGGGCAGGAAGGAAACCAACCTCACTACTGCCCTGTTAATGCCTAGTACAGCATTCAAAATGGACGCCCAGGATAGGCTCACACACACAGACCACTTCTGTTGCCTGCCTCAGTGTCACAAGTTGGCTAAGCTTTGATGACAATTCAACGATTTTGCAGGTTTCTGATGCAGTGATCCAGGTCTCCCTCGAGGGAGACCGGTTTGTTGAGGCAGGAGGGAGGAAGACTGTACTCACTGCAGAGCAGAGCTCAGGACCGCAGCCAAGGGCTGAACTGCATTAAGTCAGGAGGGTGATGGGATATGCCCCACTTGCCCAGACGAGTGCAGTAGCACGTTCAACACCATCCAAGACAAAGCAGCCTATCTGATTGGCACCTCAACCATTGTCTTAAAGATCTAAACTCTTGACTACAGAGTGTGTCCCATCTACAAAATGCACACTGCAAGATGCTCTGGCACCACTTCCCAAAGTCTGCAAGCTTCATCACTTACAAAAGATGAAGGAACAACGTGAGGAGTTTGCCTACGTTCCGATGTCACATTCATTTATCTCTCAGAGTGACACAACTTCCTCACTTCCAAATACATGATGATTCCTTCACCATCGCAGGGTCAGTACTCTGCAACACCCTCCATAATAATTTCACCACACTGCCTGCAGTGGTTCAAGACAAACAGTCCCACTCTTAGCCTCGGAAGGGCAAACAGAGGTGGGCGTTAAATACTAACGTTGCAACTCTATGCCCACATCCCAGAATGAAGGTGGAAAAAGCAGATTTTGCATTAACACACAGGTTGTGGGACCTTTCATATTTGCATGGTGGGCCCCTCGAGAAAGTGGGCTGTTAATTCTGCCCAGGGTCAAAACGTCTCTAGCTGAGAAATGAATGTGACGTTTCCCTCTCAGGTGCCAACAGGATTCAGAAGTACGAACAGCATTTTATACCTCTACAACCGCTTACTGTGCATTTTCTTACCATCTCTCCCATTGGGCCTGGGTCTCCAGGGTAGCCCTTTGGACCTCTGGGTCCCCTTGGTCCCTGTGGGAATGGATGAAACATCAATTAGTCCTTCGCAATCTCGATTACAAATTCAGAAAAGGCTGACCATCACAAAGGAAAGAGAGGGCTGGACGGATGCCGCTGATCCTCACTGGGTTTGGTGCCCATTATGTTAAGCAAAATATTAAGTTACTCAGTTCATGGACAAGCCTGACTTCAGTGTGCATTTCTTGGCAAATATTCCCCTCATCTGCGTTGACGGGGGTAAGTTCAGTTTAACACTGGATAACTGATACACCCCAGGCACGCACGGGAGGTTCAGGATTACTTCTAAGGGCGTAATTCTCACCGTTCCAGCATCCTCTCTTCAACAAGAGAGGCAGACAGCTGGCACCAAAGCCAAGAGGAGGTGGGTGGCGCTACAGAGCACAGCAACAACTTATGTTTGTACAGCACCTTTCACTTAATAAAATATTCCAAGGCGCTTCGAAAGTGTATTATAAAAGTACGTCGGCAAACCTCTAGAATTAGAATTAGGTTTTGTTGTCACGTGTACTCAAATACAAAAGTACGGGAGTAGTGAGAGGTGTACAATGTCGCCACACATAATGCCAAAGTACCTAGTTACAACTCTTAGATACTAAAATAGATTGGGTACAAAAATAGAGAAATGAAGAAAAAAAGCTAAAAGTTCTACACTACATAGTAAAAATTACAAAAATAAAGAAACAAAGTTAAAAGTTCTGAGGAGATGGTAGTCAGCAAGAGATCCAAAACATAATTGAAGGGGTAGGTTTTAAGGAGCCCCGTTGAAGAAAGATGGGAAGGTTTAGGCATGGGTTCTTGAGATTGAGGCATGGCCATCAATAATGGAATGTCTCAAGTCAAGCACGCACACAAGGCCAGGTTGAGAGGCTTGCAGCTATCTCAGAGGATCATAGGACTGGAGGGCATTAGTGAGAGATATGAAGCTGTGGAGGGGTTTAAAAACAGGGAGGAGGATTTGAAAAAAATTGAGGTGTTGCGGTTCCAGGACCCAGTCAGGAAGCACAGGGCGTGAATGTGGAATAGAACGCAGTGTGAGCTAAGACAAGAGCAGCATAGTTTTGGACAAAATCAAGTTTATCAAAGGCACAGTTCACAACCAGCAATAAACAAGGTGGGCACTGTCATCAGAGATCTGAGGCAATGGGGCATTTTCTTAGGGGACGGTGTGCTTTCCAATGCAGCTCAGCTACTTGTAGCCTTCAGCATCTAGCCCAGATATAGTTATGCATTCAGACAAGATGAGGTACAGGCTTATGGATAAAGGGGGCATAGGGTAGCGAGTCAGACTGTTAGTAGCACAGGCTGGTCTCTTTCGACTTCACAATGAAACAGATACATATTGTAGGATTCCATTTTGAACATGGTCAAGGCCAGTCCAAAAAAGCACTCTTTTCCATATGTGATCGGGCTCTGATCCATATCTCATGTGTGTCAAGTGTCTAACCCATGTTTCAGAGGGGAGGTGATGGCCTAGTGGTATTATTGTTGGACTGTTAATTCAGGGATTTGAGTTATTTTCTGACAACCCAGGTTCAAATCCCATTGTGGCAGATGGTGGAATTTGAACTGAATAAAAAATCTGGATTTAAAGAGTCTCATGATGACAATGAATCCATTGTTGGAAAAACCCCTCTGGTTCCCTAATGCCCTTTAGGGAAGGAAACTGCTTTCCTTACCTGGCATGTGACTCCAGACCCAGAGCAATGTGTTTGGCTCTTAACTGGCCAATTAGGGATGGGCCACAAATGCTGTCTAGCCAGCAACAGCCTGATCAATGAATAAAAGATGGGGATAAGTCTTTTTTTTAATTCATTCACAGGCTGTGGGATTCTTCCCCTAAAGGGGCATTAGTGAACCAGATGGGTTTTTTCCCAACAGTGGTTTTATGGTCATCGTTAGACTCTTAATTCCAGATTTTTATTGAATTCAAAATTCCACCATCTGCCCCAATGAGATGTGAACCAGGGTCCTTGGAACATTACCTGGGTTTCTGGATTAGCAGTCTAGCAATAATACCAGTAGGCCATCACCTCTCTCAGGCCGGCCAGGGGACACAAGGTGTAACCTGCTGGTAGTGACCACCACTGACACTCCCCACTTTCGCCCCACACTCAGAATCCAAGGAAGACAGTGGCCTGAGAGCTCACCTCTTAATGTTTGTGGAAAAGGGTCAGACTAACTTTTGTTCAGGGACAGGAGTAGTGTGACCGTCAAACAGGCTACCCCACCCCAATTATCCCCACATGAGCAGATCCAGCCACTGGAGGTCAGGCCCAGATTTTGTAAGGACCAGCGCCAGGCTATATACACTGATTGAAACCTCACCAGAATTAAACTCTTAATATAGATGGTACAAACCTCTTGTCCTGGACGTCCCATGTCGCCTTTAAATCCCCTAGGTCCTGGTCGACCAGGTTCACCCTGAGATTAAAGGAAGGAACAGGTTAAGGAATTGCTCGCGGACACAACATAGAATGAGGACACAAGGATGATGAGTAATAACCCATGTACTGAGTTAACAGTACCACATCGATAGTTGAACACCAACTTTCTCATGGGCAACTGTGTGACAATGCTGTGGCTTTAAGAGGTTATTTTGTTCTGGTTTTGTCTTTGAAAGAGAGGTTATAAGGCAGAATTTCTGAGCAGTTTACCAAACCCATTTGAGTAAAACAGCTCGGGAGGCCTTGGATCAGAGATAGTAGGAACTGCAGATGCTGGAGAATCCGAGACAACAAGGTGCAGAGCTGGATGAACACAGCAGGCCAAGCAGCATCATAGGAGCAGAAAGGCTGACGTTTCGGGCCTAGACCCTTCATCAGAAATGGCAT